AAATGAAGTGTTAGAACAGGAAGATGTGTGAGTGTGATGTGAGAAGTTTGTGCCCAAACAGCAGATGTTTACTATCTTGTAATTTTCTTTAGCAGAGTCAGGTTGGGCCCTCCTTCCTAGGGATAGTGACTCACATTAATACAACTGCTTGGTGAAACAAAACACCACAGATTGATTGGGCACACATCAGCAAAAATATGTTTTCCCCTGAAAGTCGCATGATGTCCACTCACACGAGACGAGATGAGAATGCATCATAAAGCAGAAGCAATAAAGCCCTTTGTGCTTGTGTATTGACGTACATAGTGCAGCAGTGTAATACATTTTGTTTTTCTAGGTTTGGTTTTCATGTGGTTGGCGCAGCGCTATACCACGGCATATAATGACAAATGTTTGCAGCCGGATTAGTGCTGTGTTCCTTCAACAAACATCAGAGAAATAGTTTCGTGTATCTGTCTCCCTGTAGTTCTGTTTGAGAGCTGTAGTATATTAGCACAGGGACAGCTGATTTACGATGCTGATGATAACACACTGCAGTCACACTTCAAACAAAGAGTCCAATGACACTGATCCAGACACTAGGTCTGACTTAATCAATGACAGCTGGTGGAGGATCTTCTAGGGGGCATTTAAAGGCCTTGTGTTGGCTGTCAGGTATCATTGGCAGGTACTTGATGGCTGTGGCGACAACATTTCTGCCTGCATGCAAAGTTGATACATTCAAATAATCTAAAAAAGTGGTTTGAAATGTTATGTATTATTTGTCAATTATTGACAGTTAAAAATGTTTGGCTTCATGTGCCAGTGAGCAACTTTCCAAGCAATTAACTTGGCTATGCCTTCAATGCTGTTTCTCTGAACATCCATGCGTTAAGCAGGCTAGAAAGATCATTTTATATTAACAATATCAACTCAATCAAACTGACCAATTATATGACAGGGCAACTATTTCCTGTAATGTAATAGAAGTGTTCTTGTCTTATATTCTTTATAACATTGCATATTTAAAGAAATTGTTGAAGAGGATAAAATTGAAACATAAAAATGTAGTTAATCCCTCAAAAGATCTGCTTGAGGAGTGTTTGGGTTGTGGTGAATCATTGTTGATTGACAGTGAAATCACCATGGCAACAAAGAAAACAAACCTTAACAAAATTTGTTTTCTGATTTTTCCGCTGAGTCTGATATAAGTTCTTGTTTACTATATAAATTACTTTTTTATACAAAAATGTTTCCACAACGTGAAATTAATTGATGTGAAAATGTCAGTAATGCAAAACAGTTTTTTATTTGAATAAATAATTCACAAGTGTGAAATCTAAATGTACTGCTGATTAAAGCAGTAAGCATCTTATATAAGGGACAGCCATCTTGTGTGTACTTGTTCACCTTCATTAAAGGTTATGGTCATGAGAGGTGAACTATCTCAGATGAATTAAAGAGCTTAATTTTGAAGGGTTTTTAAAGGCCTATGGAGGTACAAATATAACCCAAAAAAACCAAGGTATTCCTATTGTTCTTGCTGATGCTGATACATCACCTAATCCAATTCAAAGTAGCAGGATCACACATACAATAATATATTGTAAGTATATCAAATTGAAAGGATGTTAAAGAAAAAGCTGATTAGGAAAACAGGTTTCAAGGTCCCTTAAGCCAATGTTAACCAGGGAAAATGCTAGATCGGAAAATAAACAACCTGCCACTTTGCATATTTTACAAAGAACCAAGTCAAATACAGTGCAAATTAGATCCTACAAAGGGGCCGAGGGAGACGCAATGTAAAGGGGATATTTACGTTGGGAGATACCTGCTTCAGAAAATTCAAATATTGAGGTTTTCGACGAGGACATGTTATCAAAGGCTCACACTGTTGAAAAGGTGAACAAAACGGCTTTAATTTAACATGCAGGTAAGGAAAAAGCTCAGTGATTCTCATTGCTTTGGAAAATAGACTGCAATAATGCAAAGTATATAGAATTGTTCACTCCCCTTCAGGGACCCATCATGCACTGTGCTGTCATTTACAGTGGCATTTTTAAATGTCACATGTCCACAAGGCACAGGATGTGACTTGACAATGTGGTAATCTGATGCATGTTTTTTTAGCAGCATCAGGCCACTTTGCATTTCCCGGCATTAGCAAATTATTGAGCTTTGGTGGTTGATTTGTGGAATTTCAGTTGGACATTCAGAGATAAGAAGGAAGTTTGAAGTGTCATGAACTGTTCCCCTTTCAGCTTTCCAGAGTCACATCATTGTGAAGATTTTTGACTATCATTTGACGGGCAGGTTTTAAAATAACACAGCAGTCACAGGAAACATTCCTTACTGTCTTAAAAGGGCTTTATTTTTGACAACTGCGTCAAAGCCAACAGAATGAACTCTTGAATTTAGGTCCGGCTGCATCTCGTCTCTCACAAAACAACCTGTGTTTGTCATGCCCCATGCTGTCAGCATCCATTGTGTGTGAGCTAAGGACGTGACTGTCAGCTGTACCCGACAGTGGAAGTCTTTAAAAGCACCTATAGTATGTTTCTTTTCCATTATAAGGTGAAACAAAAATGGAAAATGATAATATTTGTTGTATGTACACATCAATTACACACATAAATTACAATAACAATGATACTGTGTAGCTTTTGAGTTAGCCACTCCTCTTCCATAAAAAGGGATGACTTTGATGTGAGATAGAGATGGAGACGTGCTTCAAGGCCACATCTCACTACTGAATGCCAGTTGACCATATAAATATTCCTCGGGCTGCTGGGTGTGGAACAGGAGTGATTACTGCAGAAATCACATGTCTAACATCACCATGGGAAAACAAAACATAAAATGAGTTTCATTTTGAGTCTCCTCTAAATATGATTGGCACACGAAGTTGTGTGCCCTTCTCATGTACTTTCAAGTGTTCCCATTTTTAACAAATAAATGAATTCCCATTTTTCCACATATAAGACTTGTGTGCCATAACTGTCTAGATCCAGTTTTTCTGAATTAAATTCATTTAGTCTATTTTATGCAAACATATTCTTATTTTTATACCACAGCATGATAAACTTATGTATTTATTTTCACTCAAATAAAACCTTACTTCTATTGCCCAGTAAGGTTTATTTTGGGTTTGTTGTTTTTGTGTGGGTGTGTACATACTCTACATGTGTAGGCCTATGCCAAGTCAGAGGAAGTGTGTTTGTCATTATGTGGGTGAGCAAACAAGTTGACCTAATTGTTCTGTATTGCGTGAGAAAATGACAGTAAACCAGGGTACAGTAATAATTCAACTATAGTTTTATGAAGTTATTAGGCTAGCGCTACCAATAATCTCTATTAGTGCCTTTTATTCTTTGAACTGAAGCAATGTTGTTGTGCTCACACAATGAGAATACAGTTTTTAAATCCTGAATCTTGATTCTTAATAATTTCCTACCTGAATGTGGCTCACTCACATGGTATGGAACAAGTTGTGATTACCATCTAATCAACACCCATTTCTGCATTCACACAATACCTCTTAGGTGCTACCACACCCTGTTCATTAGTGTTTAATCCAGAGAGTACAATGGGTTTACACTCAAATGTCAGACCAATACTGGTGAGCAAGAGCTCAAACTGGTATTTCACTACATTACCACAGGTATGAACTATGGGGAAAACAATATAGGTGGAACTATGAAAATACTTGAGTTTCCTTGTTCCCCTTTTATGTCACGAGAGAAATAAATAGGTGGAGACGCAATGGGGGATAAATTAGTTATGATACATAAGTCTCAAAGGAAAATGTCAGGACCATTTCTTTAACTGTTATATTAACTGTCACTATTGCCCATGTCTTACTGAGTTGCAGTCTTATTTTATACTGTAGGTTAACCATCTGGCCAAAATGCAAAAACATGTAGTCTGCTGCCCTCTAGTGAATAAAAGCCCAACTCGGTTTTTCATGCACCTTCGTCGACTCTGGATTGGCAGGCAATCATGTAATATGACAGCTGATCATGAAACCATCTCTATAACACATGATACCAAAAGAAAAGAAAAGTAGTACAGAAACATTTCCAAATGTGCCTAAAATATCAATTAAGTGTGTTGTCATTATTATTTTACCAGGAACATTTTTTATTAGATTTAAAACTGGTTTACAAGGGTCCTTACCAAGAAAGCAACATATGATGTTGTAAACTCTAAATGTAATTTATGAAGACACACTTTCTCAAAGTAGACCAAGCCAAATAACCATCAAACATATAACATACTTAAGTTTAGCAACAGGTAGCATTAGAAAAAAAACTATATTTACTCAGTTACTGTACTACAATTAGTAGGTACTTGGTCTTAAGTAAATGTCTGCTACTTCATAGATAGGAAAATATTATACTTTTTTTTCAAATACATTAAGTTGACAGTTATAATAACAAGTTACCTCGAGGTTAATATTTTAAATACAAAACAATAATGATCTTCAGCAACAACACATCAATGTGTTCCATAATAGGGCTATATACTTGTGTAATAGGGGCCATTCTGCATAACAAGTATGAAGAAACTGTTTACCTTGTTTAATGTGAACATCACTAATTCGTTACGTAGGTTTCACTGCCAATGAACAAATCAATTATGAGTTTATTGGGCTATTTCACCTACCTAAAGGCCCTAACCTAAGTTCGTTTATCCTGCCCTGAATTTACATTTGCATTGCTATTTGGATCACCTGTCTTCAGTATATTGTAGGTATGTAGGCTACAGCTAGTAAAAACATCATTGAAAATTGTTTCAAATTGTGTAAACCTATACTGTTTGATAGCACGGTTCTGTTTTACTACGATATGAAACTCACAGGTGTTTTGGTAGTAAGTGAATAAAGCAACAGTGTGGATGCTGCTCGGTGCGGCTGTTGCTGGGAGCTCCGGCCAATCAAAGCCGCAGCGCTGCCATACAAGTACTTTGGGGGCTGGAGAAGCATGACATCATGCACAGCCCCGTCCCTCCCTGCGAAAACAAAGAGTAAAACATCTTTATTTCACTACTGCAAACAACAGTCGACGACACAAGCGTCTGCACTGTGATACCCCGCGGGCCCGTCCTTAAAACCCACCTGGGATCTGGCCCTGGTGCTCCGGTGTGTGCAGCGGAGTCTGGGAGGGGCATCCGTCCGCACGTCCGGGTAATGGCGGATGGGGAAGCCACCGTGTCTGTGGAGTGGGACAGCAGTGATGGGGGCTTAGCAGAATAACATCCCACTTCTGCGTGTCTATTTTCTCTGTTTAGCTTGGTATTCAGCTCTCGCCATGGATCCAGAGAAAACGTTGACATTCTGCCTCGGGCTGAAGGCTGAGGAGGTAATGCACAGATTTCCTTTGATGCACACACACTGCCAACAGCTGGGCTTCAGTTATTGTGCAGAGCAACATGCTTTCCAAGGTCTGTGTTGTTGTTGACAAACAGTGGCCTCAACTTGTTCTGTAACCATCTGTCTTTCATTTCTTCATCTTGAGATTTTTTATCTGTTGAAATGTATCGAGGACAAAGGGGGCATTTTTTTTGCACCACTGCAGCAAATGTTTGGTTTCCAGTAAAGTCTGTCAGGTATGGCTTTAATTTGGTTGTTTGTGCTCAATGTTAAGGTTTACTGTGAGAGCTCTAGGTAATGCATAACATTGGATAATAGGTTTTTAGAAGCATGGGTCCTCTAACGCACAACAGATGTCCTGACAGATATAGCCTACTGTACTAAAATGTCCTGTAAGGTCATTAACTCTAAACTAAGGGCTACCACAGAATTGCACTTTTTCTTGGAAAACTATAGGAAAGTTATGAGTTGTATATTTATGATTTCAATAGCAGGTTGTAACTTGTTGATAAGACTGCAGTTAGATTTTAAGTTAATTTCTTGTTTGAAACGGAATAGCAAATTAAATCTGCCGTAATGCACCAAAAATTTCTTTTTAATTTATGCATGTCATTGAAAGAGCTTTGTCTGCCAAACCCTTGTAGCCTCATAAATCTATGTACAGCTGCTTGTCCAGCACAAGAACAGCACAATGCTGAATCAGGACACTGCTGGCTCCACACTAAGGATGATGTTTCCTTCTTTCAAGTCTGTTGTTGTCGGAAAACTTGTAGGCTTACACAACTGTATTTATTACAACAACATGAAACCTTAATTGGTTTACATCTATTTGAAGGATTTCAAGAAATCTGCTGTATGTTAAGCCAGTGTGCCATATAAAAAAAATATTGATAACATCTGACAATAAAAGTCCTGTGGGAGATTTTGTTGTGCTTGCTTTAATGTCATTGTTAATATTAAGTGCAGTATTGCCTCAGCATAAGATTTCACCAAGGAAGAGTGCAGTGGTTATCTTTATTGAATTTAGTCTGACAATAAAAGTGAACATCTTAAAACATGATGATTAAAATGGTTTGCCTGAAGTCCAACAAGTCTTTACCTCACCTTAATCGCATCTTATTTCCATGCCATCTTTATAATACAACATCCATGGCATCGTGTTCATGACAAAATTACGTAATGGCATGTTTTATTTGCATGTTCACAATTTACTGTGACTTGACTTAAGGCCATTTTATAGAACTTTGAATGTTTTCTTATATCCTGCAGCCGTGCTTCTCCATTCGATCTCCCCTCACTCATGATTCGTGGGTTTTCAGGTGGCAGGAAAAGGCTGACAGGTTTTAAGTCATTTAGTGAAGGTTTGTATGTGTGTGTGGTGGTACTATGGTAAACCTTGGGACCCCAGGGGTGGAAATAATTTGTGGTGAGTCTGTGGTCTCTGGGGAAGTCTGAATGATCACTTCACACCCGTGTGCGTGTACTCTGTGCCGTGTGGTGGATTTACCACAGGAACTCCGCTCCCTCCTGAAACCCTCTTGACTCTGACTTGCATAACCGTACAAAAGCTTACTTATGAACCTCCTGAGGTTATGTTTGACAGGCAAATATGCAGCATGACTTCTCTGCTGGCCTACGCAGATAGACACATTTTGCAAGATATCTTATTTATCTATGATTAGTTTTAGCAAAGTTAATACAAAAAATAGCTCTTGTTGAACAGTTGATTGTCAGTAGGGGTGTCATTGATAAACCTGAACTCTGGTATTTATCAGACCTCAATACTTGTTTGGTATCCTCTAAAATGTGTCTGCAGCACAGAATATTTAAAATCCCCAAGTAGCCAATCCAAAGTTTGTATGCTTTGATCATATTTTGTGTTGTTTAAATGGTAATTTTTAGAATATGTCATGAAGGAAGGTTATTGTCAGTGCTTGTATAACCAGCTTGGAGCCCTTTGGTTTATATTGCTACAAAGTTAAATTAGTTTGAAAGAACATAATGTATATCTCTCAAAGAAAGAAATCAACAAAATGTTATTTAGGTAAAAAAATCTAAATACTGTATTGCTAGTATCGGAAATCGTACCCAGCTATAGATGCACTGCCTGTGAACATCATGTGTTCATGGTCACATGTCGCTGCCAGCATCCACATCACTTTCCTGCAGAAGAATCATTGTCAGTTTGTCTCATGTTCCACCTTCATGTCCTTGCTCTTTCACCAGTGTCATGCGATGTTATGTCATGCATTTTATATAAACCTGTAGATGCACAGGTGTTGCTGATGCATAGGAACAGTTGTATATGATATATTTGATCAAATGTCATTGTTTCTAGGCTAACTAACAGCCACTATTGTCATTTAAACAGCCTCAGGGTAGTGTGTGGAGTTAGCCGTGTGTCACATTTGGCTCATTTTAATTTTGCACTTTGTAAAAAGACAATAGTTGTAACTCAGAACCTGTGGCACTTTGTGTGCATGTGTGCATGAACACACTCTGCAGCCAACATTGTTCCCCATGCTGACTACATAATCAGCAGGCAGCTGTTAACAAAAGCATCAGTGATATGGCTGCAGCCCCCACTGTCTCACATTGTTTCTGGCAGCGGCCCGGCCCCACATCCAGCAGCACACACACAGGGATACAATCCTTTTACTCACTGTGGACAGAGGTGACACAGAGATTTTTTCAATATGTACCGAATTGCACTGGGCGAATGCACATATGGTATTTATTTCCTTTGTAGATGGTATGCAGACTCAAGTCTATATGTTTATTCACTAGTTTTCCTAAAGGTAGGTCAGCCTGTGTGATTTTTTTATAGGTGTCATTGCCGGCTGAGATGCTACATCTGTCAAAAATACCCTCACGAGACAAACTGATACTCTTTTAAAAGGACCAGATGCTTCATACAGTATGTCACTGATTTTAGTGTAGGAATGCTTTGTCAATCAACATTTTAATAAATTATTTATCATGCTTTTATCAAGTCTTTTGTTTTTCTTGCTTTTAAATACATGAATGTCTTTGGGCCTCTATATGTTTTTTGCAAATTGAACATTTCACCTTGGGCCTGCTTTGATTTTCTCAATTTTCTGACATATTTGAGACTAAACGCTGAATTTGAATGGTCACAGTTTTAGAGCTGTAGCTATTGCATGTATGTGTGTGTTTGAAAGAGAAAGGGAGAGTGTCTGGGAATTGGTGCCATCTGTCTGCTACCTCGGCCCACCGAGGAGAAATAGGTTTTGTTAAAAAGCCATTGACCTTCCCAGCTCCTTGAGGAGCCGAGTGTTGGGTAACCTGCGGATGGAAACTGCTTTTAGTGGCCTTTTTTTTTTTCATGTACTAGAGTACTAGAATGACAGCACAATATATGGGTTGTTTGTGCCCTTGTCGGTAATCATACAGTGCCATGCTTCGTATATTTCTTTGCCGTTTACATCATATTATTCCTCTCTGTTTGGCTCCTTTTTAACCATTGTCTCTCTGCCTTTTTCCAGATGACCATGTCCCTGCAGGGCCTGGATGGGACTGAAGCTGCTACGGTAGGGAGCGTGACCTTCAACCACAACTAAACATTTCATACACTAGATAATATAAAAAATTGTCCACACATGAGTAAAAAAAGCCTCCAAGCGTAACCACAGTGGTTGCTATGGCAAATAATAATAATTTGTTTGCACTTCTCAGCCTCATATGTGGTAACTATGTACATAACAGATATAGCAACCAACCTGTTCTTGCAGCATTATTACTGTCGCGTCTGAGCTCCTCTAGACTCTTCTTGCCATGTATTGAAATGTGACAGCTTTTTATGATGTGTCCAAAATATAATATTGAAAGTATGGCTTCAGGTCTTCTCTCTTTATCACTGACCTGCTAATGAATAAGATGTAACGTTTAAATTCACAAAGGGTTTTCCATTTCTCTTTTTAGGTGGCTGTTTCCCAGAAGGAGCGAACAGTGAATAAGGTGTGAGGTGTTTTTTTATTAACCCACAAACTGTAGCCACCATCTTAAAGCTGCCGTAATTAATATTTCCATGCAAAAATGTATTAAATGTGTAACGTGAAAGGGGTTACTTGTAGCAAGCCGCCCATAGAGAATTATCAGCCACCATGAAGCACTGCAGAATCATATAGTCAAATCAGGCTCATGTCAACACAGTTTCAAACTAACACAGGCAGCTTTATTCACCAAAAAGCTCTGGGACCAGTATCACAAAGATATTTTAGGCTAAGTCCTTTTTTATTCAGAATTCATTGTAACGTTGTCTTGCTTAACATACTGTAGTCCAGAAATAATCTAAAGGCTGACTATTTGTGACATATAGTCAAAGTCTTTCTTTGTGAAACTGAAGATGCCACTCTACACTACCTGCACAGACAACATGAGTGACTATCTTGTGAACCTAATCGAGCATTTAGCTACTTAAGAGACATATATTTCCCTTATGAGTTGGAGGCCAAAACAGAGCTATAATACAGATACAGTATAGATTGTATTGGATGTATTTATCAGGTGAACATGGTCATGAAATGAATGCTAATGTTACTCTAACATGTCGGCCACAGTTTATCAGAATCAGAAACAGGTTTATTCCCAGGTAGGTTCGCACATACTAGGAATTTGACTTGTTGTCATGGTGCATACATAAAATATAAAAAACAAGAAATCTAATATAAAACAAAACAAATCTATAATTTATATAATTTATCAATAATATGTCAGTATATACAGCTTATTGTGCCACCTGGGACATAAAAGTCAGATTGAAGAACCATCCTCTTTCAACCCCCTTTCATGGTCTTCATGAGGAGATGGAGTTTTCTCAGTAGTCACAACGATGGCTTGATTGTCATAATTTGACTTAAGTATGGATATTTGGGTTAGGCGAGAACGTGGTAATATATAAAGGTCAGATTGAAACCCCTGTGTCCGTTTAAAGATGGTGTAAGATGTTAATGGCCTCCTTTTCTGTCCTGACCTTATCTTCTGGTTAAAAGCCTTGAAAAAAAACGAAGCGGATTTCAGGTCAACAGTCATATTACATTTGCATGGTTTGAAAGGTCCCTGCACTCATACTTTTCAAAAGGAAACCATAGTCACACCAACTATTGAACTTTTGCAGTTCATAACATAATTTTCTCTGGTGATATGTGATGCTTTGTTTCGTCCACTAGGTGGTGAAGAATCACGGGGGCTCAGGTAGCCAGCCTGGTGTCCGCCCCAAGTACTGTCCAGGGGTCAACAACAACCCCGGCTACCTGTGTGAGACGGGGCACTGCTGCGGAGAGACGGGCTGCTGCACCTACTATTATGAACTCTGGTGTGAGTCACCTGACTTTACTTCTTCTCTACTGTGTTACTGTAACAAGGTCATGAGGCCAAGGCTGCGCTCTGTCACGTGTATTATTCAGTCCTGCCAGGATGTGTTAGGTGAACTGCACACAAAACAATCAGATTTTACACAGTTCCATTACATTCTTCAACATATACCTGGTAATTGGAATTATGGAGCATTGAATGGATTTATCAAACCAGCATATCCAGACAAAATGTAAATTAAATAATCCGACGTAATAAATGTTGTGCATTTAATGTTGTGAATTTATTTTCAAATGAATTCAGACAGACACCATGAGTCAGTTTTAAAACGTCTAACATCTCTCTTGCAGTGATGAACTTTTAATGATATAATCGTCTTCTATCACACATTTAACCTATATATGTCTGTTACATTCTCAATTATGAAACATTTAGGTTTACCTAATTGATAGGCCCTTTTGAGCTTTTCCCTTCACCCTTCACATTAACTTTCATTGTTGTTATTGTGTCATTGGTTTAATCTTAACTTGTATCTAAAAATGCTTTCAGGGTTCAAGAAATAAACACCAGGAAGCACCAAACAACAGTGTTGGGCTTCATGTTGCAACACTCTCTAGTTTAATCTGATCATACGGTCAGATCACAGCGTCAAATATTTGGAGATTTAAAGAAAAAGTTAGGGGTTAAGTAATATGATGTTGTTGAGGATTTATACTCCACTCCCCAGCTGTACGCTGATTAAAACCACTGAATTTCTAAGTGGTATGTACATATAAATATCATGGTCAAATGAATGCAAACAAAGCAAGGAAATTCCTCTTAAATCTTAAGGTTTTCTTTGCAAAGTTTACAGTAGTAATGTAAAACTTAAAAGATGTTTACGTGATGGCACAAAATATCCAAAACCACCATTATTGTCGCGTCTTATTTGAATAGATCTGAGATGCAATTTCAAACAACAGAACAGATGATTTGTTCCGTTCATATCGATCTTTGATTATTGTTGGGTTCCCGTTGTGTGCAGGGTTCTGGCTGCTGTGGACGATGCTGATCCTCTTCAGCTGTTTCTGTGCTTACCGCCACCGCCGAGCCAAGCTGAGGATCCAACAGCAGCAGAGACAGAGGGAGATCAACCTGATCGCCTACAACGGAGCCAGCAACTACCCTTCCTCCATGCTTGACCTCAGTAGGTTTATTCATCTTCTTTTATTCCTATTATCATTATTTTTGATGGTGTAGATCTGCTGTCGGGGGAACTGCAGAGTCAGAGACTTTTAACATCAATGCTGCAAAGAAAAGTTGGAACAACATAAAGCTATTTGACAATATTATTTATAGTGCATTTGTTCGACAACTTGTTTCTCGAAAGTTGGGAATCAATATAAAAAAGTTGGTGAGTTAGTTATGTGGGATTGACTAAAGAAAATACTGTGCCCATGTTAATGAGGAAGCATGTGAGATATTTCTCATTGGTGTGTTTTAAATAGTTTTTGGTCACTAAGGAGGTATGGATCCACAGGCAGTACTTGTTAATAAGTTACCCTCGTTGTTGTGATTTATGTCAGATGCATATTAAAAACGGTCTCTCCAGTCTTGTACCACACTTCACATTTGAGCTGATGTGTGACATTTCTTTCGTCTCAGGTTTTCTGGCATCCTTCAAGTTGCCTTCCTACGAGGAGGTGGCGGCGCAGCCCTGCACCCCTCCTCCGCCTTACAGCTCCGTCTTTGCCCTGCAGGGAGGAACCATGGGGGGTCCTAGCTCCTCCTACGCTCATTACCACCACCACCGCCACCCCTGCCCTCCCTATCTGGGCCCCGGCCCCGGTCCCAGCGGCTTGACTTCCTCTCAGAGCTCTGACAACTACACCAGCTGCTCCTGCGAGTCGTGCTCCCTCACCTCCCCCTCCAGCACCTCCTTCTCTCTCCAGGTGACAGACGAGACGTACAGCAGCCACTTCTCCACCCCCAGTGAAGCAGGGTGCGACTGCGCCGTCATGCCGAGGCTCGGGGCCAACTTCACTCCGACTTCTTCCCCGACACCTCCTTCACAAGTTCCACCTGATGTTATACCTGCCGCCGCCCCAGATGTCATACCCATACAGAGAAGGTCCCCTAACGGCAGTGAAGGGGTCCCGCTGCCAGCTCTCTCTCTCCCTCTACACTCTCGTCCTTCACACCCTTCTCGCCTGCCACTTTCTCCCCTCATCCTGTTATCCTCCCTCTCTCCTGGTCAAGTCCATCCTCTCCTCTTCTCAGACCCACTTGGAGCCATTCAGAGAAGCAGAAAAGAAGAGGTCCTGCCTCGTGGTCCGCCCCCCAGACCCGCTTTGTCCCCCCCTAAGCCGGCTCTCTTCGCTTCAAATGTGGCTGTTTTAACATATTACAACAACAAAAAAGAGGAGCAAAAACGAGAAGAGGAGGAAGAGGAAGAAGAAGAGGACGAGGAGGATCATTTCCGGCATCGCAGGCTAACGGGTGACTCGGGTATCGAGGTATGTCGTTGTCACGTGAAGAGAGAAGAGCAAGAGGAGGAGGAACTGCAGAAGGGGCGTTTTGGGAAAGGAGGAAGAGAGGCTTTGCAGGAAGAGGAGAGGGCAGACGTGCTGCACGACAGCGTGGACTGCTCCCTGAGAGCGAGGGCTGCCGCTCACTCACCGCTATCTGAAGACTGCGCTGAACAGCGAGGCCTCGTCTCCTCATCCCGCAGAATCCTCCAGAAGACGGGCGAGGCCATCATCACTGTGGAGTCCTCGTAAGCTGACAGCTGATCCAAAAGAGAAAGAAGTGAGATGAAAATGCTTGATAGCATCTTTATGGATCAAGACTAGTAGGTGAAAAGTCACTGAAGAAAAGTCTTGCAGGTCTTACTTTAATGGTTGGAGATGGGATGAGAAATGAAACCTCTTGTTTTCTCTTTATTTAAATGAGAAACTCCCAGAGAAGCCGACACCTGAAAACCCTTTTTTTAAGTTAGTTTATTTATGGTTTAGGAAAAGGCATATCTTATTCTCTGAAGTTATGAAAAATTCTAACAAATTGCTTTTTTCCCCATCTCCATTTTGACTAGTGGCTCAGTGTCATATCTCTATGTCCCTTTGCTGCTTAACATTGCTAAAATAAACGTTTAGCTCCATAGAAACAACATGCCTAATAGTCATTGGTTCCCAGCCTGGTGGTCAGGACCCCTCAAGACGTCTCCAGATAACTCGAGGTGTCTTGACGACTAACCGTGTAAGAAAGTAGAAAGATATTGTTATGATAAAGAAAAAACGACATAATTTGTGCACTTCAAAGTTGTTCAATAAAACAATCGAGAGGCAAACATCTATCTTTAAAGGGCCTGCTTTAAAAATCTTGGTGTATGAAATGTATGAGGGGTCCACACATTAATATTATTTTATGTGAAAGGGTCACATACACCACGGTTGGGAACTGCTGCCTGATAAAGCATATTACTCAAATAATCTCAGCAGCAATGAAGAAGACTGTCTATCATCAACTCACATTGTTTTAAATTGAGGACAAATTAATATTCTAGAAGTTTATGAAGTTAAGTCACTCAAAAAATTATTTTCAAAAGAGCAGATCTAATTTATTGTGTCTCTTGATCCTGTTATATAATCTTAATTCACAGGATCCTACCTTTTTGAAGGAGGTTCACAACTATTGAATAGTTTGAGGTATGTGGTGACCTTTTTAGTTGTAGGGTGATTTTATTTGCTTTCACCAGCCTACTTCCCTCTGTTTTAGAGGAAATAAGAAGGAAACCATTTTGACTGAATTGTGAAGTGTGTGTTTTTATACATTGTCTTATGTTGCTCCCAATAGGAAAGGGGTGCCAACTTTAATGATATCGTGTGGGTGGCAAAGCTTTACAATGGTAATATATTGTTGTTTCAGACTGTTACATGATTATACTGTATAATGAACTGACTGTTTGACTTTGGATTTAATGTTGTTGAACACGTTTTCCTGGTTGGAAACAATTTTTTTGCAAGGCAACATAAATCTGATTCCTCCATGGGCGGACTGTTGGGTTTTTACGAGGCAGAAACTTTAAGCCTAGTCTCCTCACTGTTATTGAATGTAAAAGGTTATGCATCGCAACAAAAAGGAACATTTAAATTGTTTACTGATAATTTTTATAGAATGCAGCTTGACTGAAAAACCTCTGGAAAAGTGTCCAAAACTGCAGCAAGGCAATACAATCTGCCAGGTGTGGGGTTTGAAATAAAGTGCCGATTGTAATGTCTGTCTGAGGCAAGAAATGATTGTGAGATATCGATGATGTAAATGTACGAGGTAAAGGGTTTGGAGTCAGAGTAATGCCTCTTTATTTTCTGTGGCTAAAAGGTGGTCACTTCTGAGAGTTGGACTGCTTTTCTCTTAATGTATCCTGGCTGATCCTTTTTTGTATTTAAAATCATTAGTCAGTTGCACAGTGTGTAGAGAATAGCCTCACTGTGAGGTAGAAACTTGTTGTAGATGCTCTTACTTGCTAGGATTGTGTGAAATTGGATGATAGCACAAATGTACTCTTGTAATTAATTCTCAGTGCAAAGTGTACTAAAGCATAGAACAAGATTTAGAAAGTGAGAATGTCTCCCATCACATTTTTGTACGTGTTTGTCTTGCTGTAGTCAATATGAGACAAATGTATCTGTAGTTCAATGACTAGACGCCACTTCATTGTGTCCTTGGCTCAGTGCAAAGCCACCTTAAATGTCTAAAGTTGAAGGTAAAGCTTTCAACTCATTTATAGTTCTACGGAGTGAAAACATTGCCTGGGTTCGGCTCAATATTACCTTTATTTGTCACAGACAGATCTTGTTTGTATATGGAGTCTAAGGATGTTTTGGTTTGTTATGAAGGTCATTTTAACATCCTCTGATCATCTCTGTTGAAAGCTCTCCTGTGATGACTCGGAGGTCATGAGACTGTTCCCCTCTGAACATTTCAATATGAAATCTTTCTGGCGGCTATGGTAAATGTTTCGGCTATATAGTCGGGATTTTTTTAATTTTGTGATAAGTTTAATGGGCGTTTATCAAAGTATATGGTGCCTGGATGAAAATAGACTTTCTGTAAGGCATTGTTATAGTTTACTGCTGCTATGCGAGTGTATATGTGTTTTATGTAAATTGTAAAGTCGTACATCAAATGGTCAAACATTTTCTAGCAGTGCTTAGCGGTCTCTTTATAAAATACACAGTACACAGTACATGTGAGACTTGCAAAAATAGTATTTAGCAATAGCATTCACACTTTTTTCCTTACCCTAGTTAATGCTGGTTGATAGGAAATTAACTGTTGTGAAAAATACATTTACCTCTTTATTACTGATCCGTGAGCTGTGCTGGGCAGAGGCCTGTGATTGTACATGACTCTGCATTTGAATGCCTTGGCTTAAGGTTTCTCCCAAGTGCACACTCAGATGATCTGGTTTTACTTAGGCCCAGTTGTGCCTGTCGTGTATTGTCATTATATTTGGGTCACGGAGCTACGCATCTGTGTTTCTTAGAAATATATTTGATGACGTCCCAAAAGATTAGATAAAGGTTTGAAGGCATTTCTCAAAGACTTTTTTCCTTATCCACACAAATACGGCAGCTGCACATAATGTATCCCCTTGCTCCATGTGTGCGTGGACCATTATTCACATGTTATTTTAGCTGTTACATTTTCGATATTAATGTTACTTTCTATTTTTTCTATATAATATTGCATTTATTTGGCCGTGGCCCATATGCAACATCTTGTTTATTTAGAGCACAAAGAGGTAAAGTCAGCAAAAAAAATCAAGGAAGGTGTGTCCCAATTCTCCTTTATGACGATTTGTGAGTGTCAATTTTACATAGCACAACCAAACGATAAAATATTTTCTGTTATGAAAATTATAACATTTGAAAGAAAATAACCTTTTATTGTAGAAAAGTTGTTTTATCCAGATTGATAAAGGCATCCTTCATTGATTTTGATCAGTGTTGTTGTTTTGTTAAATGACTTGACGGACTTATTATTATTAATCTTTTTCAAACAGATGTTTAGCTCTGTGTCTCAAAATGTAATTGTAAGCAAAAAGGGCCCAACCAGAGGCTACTTGGACTCCAGCTCTGATTTGACGTTGAAGCCAAACTGAACTGAGTTCAGTGTATATAGAACTAGTTTGATTTATTTACCTTGTCAGCAGCTAGTATGCACAGACAAAACGCCCAAACTCTACCCTCATTGCCACTGAAGGCCAAGGCCTGATATAAGACTGTTACCTCGCTGAGTTTTGACTGCAAAGGACTGTTTACTTCAACTTATCAAGATAGTATTTACTCTATATTTGTACTGACTTTATTTTGTGATGCCGAGAATTGAAAAATTGAAATTTAAGAGCTCATGTTGGTACGGCTGAAGTGCTGTTTTGCCAGGAAAAAACGAAATATCAGTCCCTGTTAATTCAGGATTACTCAATGTTTGCCCCCGGGAAAGTGTTCTCCCCTTTTACCCCTCCCTTTGACAGCAGGATTTTTAGAAGTATCTTTATGTGATTGTATGTGGATTAGTTCAGATAAATATTGCTACAACATGTGGTGTTCTTTGAGGGTATCCTTGTGCAATTCTACCAGCGGCTCTTCAGTGTACGCATGTGTGAGAGAGTTATCGTCGGCCGTGTTGTTGTGCTGTTTAAATCATCGTTGCTTATTATGAGGCCAAAGTCGATTGTTGCTGGTATTTGTTAACATGTCAATATAAATATCCAAACATGTTTATGTCATCATGAATATCAAGTTGATTTTGTATCTTGGTGTATAGCATAGAGATTTCTGATGCTTAGTCTGATGTAAAATCAAAACTAGCAGATTCTCTCATATCTATTTGTTTGGTTGCACATGTCCTGGTGCTGTCCCCAGAAGGCGCAGTATTTAATTTCCTTCAATCCAAGGTTTTTCAATTGATGCTCATTGGGATTCTACATTGATGAACACAAAAATCTGCGTTACTTTATTCAGCAAAACTTTGGATTTTGTGTCAAAATAAAAGCTTCAAAATGCTACCAAATGCATGTCTGTGGTTTTTGTAAATATACACATCTCTAGTTGTAGTTGCCTGAGGTACAAGCTGTACTCTGCTTTGAAAAAAAGCAAATGCACTGAACTTATTTCACCAGGGAAGAGCTAAAAACACCCACTCATGAGTGGCTGCCCCTGTGACTCAGGATGAATCATCAAGCTGCACTTACATGGAAAAAAAATCCTCTTTCAGGAGTAACTACAAGAAAAAAAAGAGTTTCAAATGTGTGATCGTGTGTTGCAGGCAGTATTGTTTATCAGAGATGTCAAATGCAACATGCAGTGTGAGAACATCTGCAGTCCCTTGTTGCTAGACATAGTTTTAATATATGAAGTACTGCCATATGCCTAGACAAGACCTGTCTGTTTGCATTGCTCTTCTCCCCCTGATGAGATGAGGAGATGAAGTCCAAAACCTTTGTGTCCCACTAGAAAAACAAGTTATTACCACGGCTGTATTGATAGGCAAAAACTGCCCAAACCATAGGGGAGCACATTTCATTCTGGGCACAAATGCTCCAGAATTAAATGTATATCATATTACATATTATTGGCCTGCTTTGCATGACCTTCATTTAGCAGTCTTAATATTCCATGTTTTTATTCCCAAATGCATGTATTTAACCACCACATGGGATACCCACTACAGTTGCAAAGAAAGTGGAAAAAACAGGGGTTTCATATGGAGCTATTGGACACTTTTTGAGGCGTTTTCTTCCAAGCCTGATACTGTTGTGTCTCTCTCATCATAGATACTCATATTCTGAGGCAGATGAAAGGAGGCCCAGTAGCTCCTGTGGAGGGTACAAAAGCATCTGATATCTAGTGAAGCAATAGTGCCTCCAAATGTATATGAGCTTTATACATTTGCAGATTTTTAAGTCAAATTATAGTTGTCTGCTAAATGACAAGGGCTCCTAAACGCTGATAGGCCCTCAACCAAATGTAGCTGTACAATGTTTAGCTCCATCTGGTGGTGTGAATTTGGAAGACAAAAACACCTCCAATGTGATTAATAAGATGTTTTTATGTGCAGCAAGTACCTTTATTACTCTATTACATGATGAATTATTCCTGTAGTTTTTTTCCCCTTTTCAAGTATGTGTGGGCAGTTTTTGACTTCCTTGGAAAATGCTACTGGGAATGAAGCACAACAACAAATACAGTAGAAGTCCTGTACTGGTAAATATTATGTAAAACTGCACTTGATTCAAGTTGATATAATAAACAAGTATTAGTTAAATCTCTGTTTAAATAAAGCCTACGAACAACAACCACATCCTAGTTTGGAAAAAAGGAGATATACATATGTACATATGATAATAGTCAATTAGATATAAAATACCTCATTGACGTGCCAAAACAAAAACTATAAAATATATCTATATAAAGGACGATATGAGCTTAATGAAATAAAGACTTAAATGTTGCTGTTTGTCCTTGTAATAAGGTAATTCAGGTAAATAAGCATATGTTGTTATTGTGTACATTACAGTGGACGTGTTTTTTCCTGCTCTGTGATTGGTCAGAGAGGACCAGCACCCACCCCCTTTTCTGACCACTCCCCATCCGCGTTGTGTTCACGTGACCCCCTCGGCTCTCTCTTGCAAAGTTAAAAACAGACTTTGTTTATCTTGCAGGTTGTTAGCTGAAATGCTCTCAGACTAGAACCTACTTCAAAGCCACGTTATTCTACTCTTCCCAGCCGTAAACGCTGAGAAGAGCGCGAAAAGCTCTTTTTATTTCGCTGCCTTATCATTTCGAAATTCTGCTATCCTTGTAATTAAATCTCATTGTTTTTTTCTGATTTCTGCAGCTCACACCGTGCAACACGACACAAAAAGCGTCCAGGCTTTCAGTTTTTGTTCTTCAGCTCCTGCATTTTGTCGAAGACAGTTCTGTACTTAATATATTGTTCTGCAGACGTGAGGCTTGCTGTTTTTTTTGGAGAAGCTCCCCGTGAGGTTTTTTAATCGAGCATTTGGAGAGCGCCATGGCGACCGAAGTGGATACGTGGTCCTCCGCTCCTAAAGCCGACGGTGAGTAACTGAACCCGGGCTGGCTGTGTGTGATTCATCGGTGCAAAGTGTCAACGACGGGCCCGCTGGCGTGCTCTGCCTAATCCATTGTCCTGCATGGGATGGGCTGCAACACCAGCCATACTCCACCATGTGCTCTGTTAAAAACACACACACGCACACGCACACCGAGCACTGCTGGTGCAACAGTCACTGCACACTGACGCAGCTTTGTTTGATTCACCCTGCAAATAGACCCAAACACGTTACCTTTTTTTTTTAACGGTGCTTTGTTACGGTGTTGTTGTTGAACTGCTTGTGCATTTAACCATTTCGTGTTTCTGATTGGACGAGGACACCATGCTTACTTCCGCTTTGACAAGTCGTTGTTTGCACACACTGGCGCTGCTGCTGAGTGCATTTTGATATACAGAGGCTGTTTTTCTGCTGCGTGTTTTTGACGTTAAAAGACTACATGCATGAGTAACACTAAGCTGTTTTGGTTCCTGATTTTAGTCTCTCCCTTGAGAGTATATATGAAATATATACGTTTCCTTAATCACCTACTTGTGTGTCAACACCTTTTGTGTTAGCCCGTTTTAGATTTAGACCCATTATCGGAGTTTACAACGATGCACGCCCCTTTCCTGCACTAACAGACATATTTTTACAAGGAAATGCTTAAAGAACACGACGTTTTATTGGTATAAAAAATAACACCATTAAGCACAATCTGAGCAGCAACGATAATTAACAAATAATTTATCCACATTGTCTGAGTAATGTGTGATATCTTCTCAATAATCTTTGATATCTCACTTCTGGTACACTGGGTCCCGTGGTTTTTTTCTCTCAGACTGGCGATGACGTCGACATGTATAACCTACTATAGGAGCCAATAGGAAACCCTTACATAATTCATCCCTTGCTGTGTATTTAAGGCTTACATAAGTAGTAGTATTGTTAGCACTGTAAGTTATGTGTGAGTGGTTTCACACATTAACAGAGGGGGGAAGTAACTAAGTACATTTACTCATGTACTGTACTTAAGTACAATTTCGAGATACTATTTTATGCTACTTTGTACTTTACCCCTCTACAATTCAGAGGTTAACGGTATACTTTTACTCCACTTCATACATTTATTTTGTACCTTTATTTAATTAGATGCTTATGCTTTTTTTCTTTACCTGAGTAACATTTTGAATGCAGGACATTTCCTACACTATGGTACTTCTACTTTAACTCAAGTACAAGATCTGAGTACTTCTCACACCTCTGCACAATAATTCCTATATTTGTGTTACACTCTCACACACATTCAAGGTTCCACGGATGTAAATTGTTGCATGTGAGAAACCACACGGTTTCTGGTGTGTTATGTTAGTGTGTGAGAAATCAGCCGGTGCTCCAGGGCACAGATGGGCTTTTCTGCATGAACTTGATTGCCTTTTTCTCAAGGAAGGTCGGCCACGTTTGATTGAGCTGCCACTGTTGATGAGGTGGTCATGCAGACTGTCAAAGACTCTATTGTCTGTGCTGGGAAAACCACTCTCGACACATTAGTGGGTCAATGAAGTAGCACAACAGTCTTTACCATGTTAAGGAGTGTGGTGCAGTGGGTTGTGCGTTGGTGTTGGGATCAGGGAGAACAGGTTCAAACCCCACTGCAGTCAGCATGTCGTTGTGTCCCTTGGCAAGACACTTCACCCCAAATTGCTCCTGTGGGGATTGCCCACTGTATTGAGTTTGTAAGTCGCTTTGGATAAAAGCGTCTAACAGGTGACATGTAATGTAATGTTAACCTTTATAGCACAGTCTGATCCAACACGTATATTCCCAAATGATCGGTCATCCTGGCTTAGAATATGTCAGGTTTTTTTCTCGTAAATTAGGGATTCTTTGTTAATATAAACAGATTATTGATAGTGCCCATCTCTCCATGAATACTTGCATTTATGAGAGTTGTGAGGTTTTGCCATAATGTGTCCTTGTACACTATGTAACTCCGAATTTATTTTATTAATTTCACTAACGTCTTGGGTAAATACTTGAGTAACAAGCATCCTATAGAAACCCACAGCCATACATGTCAGACCAGATTTCTTTCTGGCCTGCTGAGTACATATTTAGTTATTGTCTTACCCCTCTTTTTTTGTTGCCACCACCTCTTTCCCCCACATACATTCATGAAAACATGTTTGCACACTATCCGCTCGCATAAGATGTTCAGTTTTGAAGCTGAGAAAACAACCGGTGCAAAGTAGAGTTGTACTGTGCAGATGTGATTGTCTGATTTAAAAAAAAATAGCATGTAATTAGCCTCTTAACCGTTTATCTAAGTAGCTCTAATCTTTTATGCACCTCCCTGAGCATGCACTTTGTCTCTGTTGTTGCTTAGCCGTTACAGAGGGGGACTCAAAAAAGTACACTCAACGAAACAGCACAACTTTACATTAAATTGAGTTGTTAATTCTTCCCTTCCTACATAAATAAAACATTACCGTGTTTCACGAGTGGCAACCCTTGTATTTTTTTAACTTTTGGAGCGTGTGTGGCACTTCCCCTGCTGTTGTCTATTTAAACATGAATCACCTTGGCACACAACGTTTACATGATGTCTCTAAAACATGTTTTTGTAAAATTCTTCCCCTTTCATTAAATGAATTGACCGTTAAACCCCCAAGACGTCCACACCCTTTCTCCCCTGATAGATAAACACACAGTACGGCAGTTTTTTTTTTCCCCCGATTTTGTTGTGCAGCTAGTTTTTTGACCTTAGAGAGTGCAAGGCATGTGTTTTCTGAGCGTAGGTGGACAGAGGAACAATTTTAAAGTAGATTTGAAAACATAAAGCTTAGCAAACATGCGTTTTTAGTTATTTGGTCAACCATCTAACTATAAATAATAATAAACTATAAATAATAATAACTATAAATCATTTGTACAAAGTTCATACAAAATAT